TACTTTAGTCCATCCATAAAACTTCAATATACATCGAAATCTAAATAAATTCAGCATGGCCGATCATAGAACGAAGTCGTGACGTTATGTATATTTGTGGTGGAGGAGAACTTGTTGCCAGTTCACCTTGTGAACTCGTTTATTGTACACCTATTGCACGTATCACCAATTTTGAATTAGGCTTTGTCTCCCCAGCGCGTTCGGATGTGTGCTGTTGTAGGGTGGCTACATAGGTTTACACACAGCCCTATGTATGTGATGTATGTGTTTTTAAGTGGCTTCCTTAGAGTTGACTGTATTAACATGTTGGCGAAGAATTGTTAGATTATCTTCAATCGAGGAATCAACACTTAGATTTAAAACCCATTACTCACTTTTAGGCTATTCCAGCGTAAATTTAGTCAGTCTTTCCGCTGGTATATTAACGTACAATTAATAGCATTTTACTATGTTAAATTGCAATTAAACTTAATTAAACTTTGAGAAGAAATACAAGTTATGATAATTTTATCGTCTGTGACTCAGATCTTATATACGGAAATAAGGAAAAATTATATCAAATGTTAACAAATAAGATGAATTTCTAATTATGAATTTCATTATAATTCTATAACTATTTATGGGATGAACAGATCGATTTTCATCACTCAAAATATACAGAAATTCATCAATTATTTAACATACAACATTATATAAGATATTCATAAGTCTTTCAAGTATAAAAAAATCGATGTTAAATCGACATAAAAACACATCATTAAAGAACAAATACAAATATTTTTGAGTGTACAAAAATAAAATAATTAATATTTTTCCTTTCATTTTCAAAACATAATTGATTACAATTCGTGATTATATTCATGCAGATTTACAAAGTCGACGATGAAATAGTAAATATATTTTTTTATGTGTTATTTGCTGTGTGTGTACCTTCCATTGTTTTCTGTTATCTTAATCGTTATTATCATTAAAGCTAAATGCTAATGTTCTGGTATAAGTTGTAACGCTAATAGCAATGGTCAAAACAGAAAAAAAAAACTGTTTCCATTGTAGTTTTATCCAAGCTCGGGGTGTATATATTTTTTACTCACCGAGAGTTCACCCAGGGTAGATTGGGCTAAAATGTAAACAAACTCCACCCTAAAGCTGATACTACATATGTCATGTATTTTCTTTTTTTTTTTTTTTTTGTTTTTTGTACTTAACTTACCTCTGTAGGTAGAAAATGCACTCCCTGTTTACGAAAACAACTGTTATTCACGGTAGACACAATGAAAGCAATAATCCACATCGAAATATTTTTCTTAAACAAAATAGTTTAGTTCATCCCGTATTGTGAGAACAAGTGTTCGGCCATGTTTTGCTTGTGCGTCTGAGCTTTCGGGCTAAAATGCAGGTGTGGGCTGGGAGATTAAACCTTATATATCTACTTCAGAGTACAAATTTTATGGCCTTTTCATTTTCTCTCTAGTCTGACCTGCTAAAACGAAAGACATAAACTTCTCTTCTGTTCGCTCATAATTATGGAAATATTACACTACTTCTATTTAGAATCCCTGATTGAAACAACACAAGTAACGAGATCATCCTGTCGTTCTCCCAAACTTACGACCCACTTAAAGCAAAAAATGGCCGCCGGGGCGTTTTGGTTTTATTTTTTATTATATTTTTTTCTTCCTACTTCGATTTTATGACTCTGTGTGGCCATTTTGCCCTGGCTTGTATACGTAGTAAAATCAAGTGACATGTGCATTGGGGGTCGGCAATAGCGGCCAGCCCTGACAAAAGGAGTCGCCATTACACCAGACTAACTGTGAGGCAGTTTTCTCGCGAACATGGCCGGATTTTATGTCCAAACGTCACTGTAAATCACAGTGGTGAAACGTTCGAGGCAATTTGGTTATTCGTCGGTAGACTTAGAAACTTCATTAGGTGATGGAAGGAAAGACTGAAATGGCACTTTGTTCGGGGAGTTGAGAGAGAAAAACAAGTGAAAACTGTCCATATTTAGCTACGAAACAGACTGATTTCCTTAACTGACAAATTGATGTAGGTGCCGTCCATGATAACGTGTATTTGTAAGATATCTTAGTTTTCTGGATACTTCCCACAAAGACCATGATCACTTCCTCGTTTTTTCTATTAATTGTTTGCTAAAACCATTATGGACGAAATTGAGTAACATGAAAACTTTCATTTTCCGGTGTGAAAGCAATATATTCAGTGTAATGGCACAAACCCTACTAGTATTATCTTGATCAATATCTGAGTCATTCTGTGGGATGATATTAGTTTATCATACATTATCCTATAAATGTTTAATTAAAAATATACTTTACCATGGCAACGGTGGAGTATAAGTGTTTGAATCTAAATCTCGTATATTTAACCCTTTTCCTTTGCCTCTATTATATTTTCCTTTTTTTCATATATCATTACAATGTGCAAACAACCATAATTGCAAATCGTTTAGTTTGTTGTTATTTTTTCTTTCAATTCTAGCATTTGATATTATTTCCTACATTCTGAAAACATAAACATCAATCAAACATACAAAAACAATAACACAAAAATGGCTTAAAGGCATGCAAAGATTTTTTTTCAATATTTTTTTTCCGATTTTTTTTTTCACACGGAAATGCCTGAAATACTTTCGGGGTTTTATTTTGCATCTTGTTACATAAAAATATGCTTTCTTTCAATAACAGTATATTTTCTATCATCCGCCATAGAACAAAGTGTGGTGTGGCAGGGTGACTCCACTGGTTTGCTTTGTGTATGTGATAATATTGTTGGTTTTCCCATAACAGTGACATCTTTTCATATTCCTTCCTTGTGGCTTTAATAAATTATTTTAGAATTTGTTTCACATTCATGCTAATCGGATAATATCGTCATGAATGCAAAGATGACAGCTTTATAATATGTATTCTATTCATATTTTCTTAACGGCTATAGATATAATTTTTTAACCAAATATCTTTTCATGTACCTTGCATTTTGTGTTATGTAAGGTCTATCATTCAGTGCTGAATATTCCTGTGTTATGTTAGAAACGGAACAGAAAAAAAGTTTTTAACATTTATTTTTGTATTATAAATCTATAAAAATAAAGAACTATTAGTTAGAAAAAAAGGATAGATAAGCAGTGAAAATTTATAAACAGCTATCTATTTTAATATATATTTATACAAGTATTAACCTATAAGAAGTAGTCTAGTTGTTGAAGTTGTGTTCAATATATTTACCAAACCATACATCCATCATGATTTAAATCCTTAACGATTTTGTATATGTAAACTTTCCCTAGAAAAACATGGAGGAAAAACATAAAATAAAATGTACACGTAAAAACCAACCCCAGGTGTTCCGGATAAATTATTTCAGTCTAAATCAGAAAATAAATCCTGTATAGTTTGAGGATTTTCTTAATTATAGACAAATCTAGAGGTCATTTTTTATGGCCTCAACCTGATAACACGTCTCTGTCTAACGTTCTGTGTGGATGAGATCTAAATCTGGAGATCCTGTCACTTTCAAAAAGTGTTTTGGGCGTGTTAATAACAAGGGTATAGGGGCCTGAATTATGGTATAATTGATACTGGGGTGGTTGACATTTGAGCTGGGTTCTCCAAACATACAACACAATGGAGACTCGAATTTTCATTTCTTTACATGGCTACGTGTTTTCTTTCACAGACAAATTTATAATATCAACCTTAAATTAAGTGTAATCAATAGTTTAGCCCAATCTGTTTACTAGACTCAAGCACATGAAAGGAACGTGTAACCTTCCAAAAACTCATTAGTATTACTTCCCAAGTATTGTAGAAATAATGTCAAATATTTTCATAAAACAAATATCAGTTTATCTTTATTATACTTTTAAATATTTTTTCCTGAATAATTGTTTTATAATGATTTTCAGCAATATTCCTATCGAATTTAATCATTACAAAGTTGATGAAAATGAATTTATTAAAACAAACCACAAACACATGAATAAATGTATAAAGATATTTATATCATTAAAGAAAATATGTTGATAACTAAGCACAAATCTAATGCAGAACCCATAAAACACAAAATATTTTGATAACGCGAAGTATTCTATAAATGTATTCAACTCATCTTCAATCGGAAGGTACATAAACAATGCCTCCTGACCTATATTCTTATCTAAATGATTTTCTTATAAACTAAGGTATCCTGATTGTATATCCAAATAAAGAGTTTGTGAAGTTTCCACATATAATTTATTCTTCAAAACACTGCATCTGTGAAGTATTTGGGAGTGGTTAGATAAATGCTCCTTGGAGGAGAGAATATCTAGGGTCAGTAAGCGTCTCTCACCTGCATCCTGATAGAGCTATAACCTAATAAACACTCTCTCTACTCCCTCAAACAATTAACGACAGCAACTCGTGGTTGGTTCGCACTGTAATGTATCAACGGAGCGTGCTTTATATACATACATCAATTAATCATTGCAAATTTAATTCCTGGCTCTTTGATTTAGCCTGTATCTACTAAACTTTCATATACAGATATGAACATGAGTTCATCGCTAAATAGAACAAAATTTGAGAAATAGCAAAATGATTTGATAGCTGTCAGTGTAAACCCTTTGATGTAAGCATTAGTCATTCAGAGCAAATTTGTTCAATAGGAGTATAACACTCGCCACTTACCTAAATGTTTACGTCCCGCACATGGAAAGATATCAGAAACGTACGCTGTTCGGTTTTGTTTATGTTAACGCCATATTTTAGAGTTTGTATATTTAGCCTTTTCAGTGTGTCTATGCAACGAGGAACTGCTTTTTGTGGCGGAGGCGAATCAGCCTCGCGCGGTGAAATTTTGGGGTCACGAGAGGTCAAGAACGATGTGATTTGATTGGCGGACTAGGAAATGTGTTAGTTTATCTGTTGTAAGGGTTGCAGTGTTTAGGTGCTATAGTCAAGGATTTTCAGGAACTAAAATAATTTTCGCTTCCATAGATGGTTTCGTCCTGTGAAAATATCGCTGACAAGTACCCTCAATCACAGAAACTGGGGATGAGTTCGTATTTACCTATGCGGCCCACTGCTTCAACGAGACCAGGCGATGACATCCATTCGGCATCAACAGACAATTCAACATATATGGATCATTTTCTAAATATTCCTGAAATATGTCCCTCATCAACAGACTATCGGTCTCCCCGATATTATATGGGGTCCTATCAAGCAGAAGCATGTCGCATGGAGGCACTTCAACAACACCGAAGTCACGACCTAAGGATGGGTTTACAGGGGGGTCGATCATCATTCTACCCGAATATGAGTGTTCCCAGTAATTTACGCTTCAGAGACAATTGCACTGATGGATTAACAACGAACGGTACAAACAACAAAGCTGAACCCTTAAGTCCCTGTTCTACTGGTACCCCAGCCACCGGGAACGAAGGAGAAACACCACCATCATTCTACCCGTGGATGTCTATAGTAGGTTAGTAAAAATATTTAGACACCTATATTTCTTTTATTGTTAACGCACCACTTGTTCACATGATCAACTCGGATTGAAGGTAAGTGTGAAAAAATATCATTAATGGTGAGTAGCAATAGTGTCAGTGATATAGCACACTGGAAGTGACAATCACTAAGCGTGTTAATTCCATAATCATATTTAGCTGTAACAGAGTAAGGCGTCGACAACTGTTCTATTGACCTAGTCATTGAAGTTTTATGATTTATTTACATTCTGCCACTTTGTTACTCAAGTTATGCAAATTTGATTTTTAGTTTTATCATAACAATTCTACTCTGAAATTACTGTTAATATCTGCATTGTAGATATATTGTTGGATGATGAATGAGAAAGTTCGCTCCTTTATTTCATGCATTTATAATCATGATTTAAATAGGGGGAAACACCATTTACTTTCTTGTGACACACTGCAACACTACAGCATTAAACGTGTTCTTGCTAAAATTACATTGACTGATTATAGCCAGAAGGCTTGCTAGGTATGCGAGATGTTTTTATACAATCTCATTAACACGTAAAGTTTGACAGGAATGGATCCTTCCTGCGACATTTTAATAATATTACAGAAAAAACAGGGCTTCCCAAAATAGGTAAGGTTTCATATTTTGTGTTAAAATTACCATTAAAAGCCTTATAAGTTAGTTGAAATCCTGCATTTATTGTCACATCTTAAATGTTTTTATATCAAAAAGCTGTTACCGTGAAATGTTAACTCTCGCTTTAAGGGATGTTGTTCGTCAAGTAGTTTTAAAAGCCTACCAATTACCTGAATACTTGGTTTTATTCCCTTCCCCCTGCTGTAACACTATAAGTTATACTATAAAATGGTAATACGCCCATAAAATCCGGAAAGCATGGCGGTTTTATGGTTTAGTCTTGCCTTTTTATGCTGCAAGACAACTACATGAGAAGAGATGAGGGGAATGACTTGAGACAAGTGCAAATGAACATCCCATTTCGATTTAATATAGGAACAACTTTCAAAATTTGTCAACAATTCTACAAAATGGTCGTGAAAATTGTTGCATTGAAAAAGGAAAATAGAGAAATATCCATGTGCATTTTTTTCTTTACAAAAAAATTATTTGATTATTGATATCACTTAAATAGTGAATATATCAATTGAAGAAATAATTATTTTACAATGAGAAAATGGGTTTATTTGAAATAATTGAAATCAACGCCAAACGTGATTAATTAGGTGATATTGCAAAATACGTGTCCCCTTGTCAATGTTTTGAGTGTACAATACCTGCACAAAACCAGTGAAGCACATCGTTATACAGAAAAACTTAACAACCCACATACTGATGTCGAGCACATTTCCACTTTGATGCATTGCTAATCTCTGTCTGTGTCAGGCGATTTGTACGTGAATGAAATGTCTGTCCTCGATTAGTGAATTGTAATACAAAAGAAGACCCAGTGACGGGGTATCCACGTTTGTATGTTATTCAACTAAACAGGATACTTGTTCTTTAATATTTATAGATAACAATGCAACCTGATTTCCCTGACAATATTTGTTCAAAGAAGACAAAGATATTAACAATTTCTTTTATCCTTTGTTAAAATTTTACATAAATAGGCGGAACATCTAAATTGTTTACTTTGAATGATATCGGAACTGATGTTTGTATTTAGACATAGTAAGTTCATATAAGTAATCGTTAATTGGTTATTTCATATCACATCTCGTGATAGACCATTGACATTTATCAACAATTATGTTAAGTTCGTTGCTTACATTATTGAAGGAATTTGTTTGATTCAGTTAGGAGTGGAAATGTAATGACATAATTTAAATGAAATCGCATTATTTATATACATGTTGCATAAATTGTGTGAATAAATTTTACCTGAACATTATTCAAACCATATCCTATCAGTAGACATTTAAAGACAAACACATTGATATGAACATCACAATGCAAGAGTACTCTCCCCTGTGATACTTTTTATATTCTGGACAAAGTTATGTAATTTTATTAATAAAATAAACAAACATAAAAAATCCGAATTCACTTGATGCTTTATTGCCCCTAACATTTTAATTTATCAGCTTGTTAACAAATAAAACAGAACAAATTAAGAATCAAACTAAATGTTCATAGTACATGGAAAGAGACGTCTTTTTAAAGCAGAAACTAATTGTTTGTTGATTACAACCGTTGTAAACAATATTACATAAAATAGAATTAAATTGAAATAAACATAAACATGGATCCGAATTATTACGATATCAAGTATACATATTATTCTTATCTAAACATTAGGATTTCTGTTATCAGATGACCATCCATTATTATTTTGTTTTAGATATATATTATTAATTAAGGCAATCAGAACAAAGCCAGGTTTAGATATGTGAAGGTCTAGACAATTGACAATTTTATATGCATGTATATCAAACATTTTTAATGCTAAACATTGTCATCCCTTCATGATATAAATAGAATACGGCAGCTAGATATTATTCGTTTCGGCTTGTACCAGTATAATGCATCTGTTCATTTTTGGTGATTTTAACACATCCTATACTTCCATGAATTGGAACGACCCATATTTCGTGTTCCATTTTGGTATCCATATTAATCAGTATTCATAAGACGTAGAATATAACAAGAATAATAAAATTGATATTATTTAAAAATGACCATTGACAAGTTTGTATATTTCAACTACAAGCAATAAAGCATAAAATAAAATTATTAACTAATTGATAAGTAATAGTTAAACAATACAATACATAAAAATATGTTACTTGCTAAATCTGTTTATTAAGTTGATCGTTTTAAATATTATGAAAATTTCTACATTGAAATAATGCTTATCAAATTGGACAATGATGCAAGTAATCCATTGAGATGTGGGAAATATCAATAATTTTCATCACTAATGCAATCACTACCCCCGGAAAGATTTTCCATGTACTTCATACTATGTTAATGAGCTGCCTGTTTTAAAATACTAATGGATATAGGTAAGTGGGATATATTGTCGCTAAATTACTCTTGTCATACTGTATGCCTATAGCGCAGTTGCCCTTAAAATGTATTAATTTTAAAGCATGCAAGAAATGAAAACATTCCATTCTTACATCATTCAATGTAAAAGCAAGAGGGATCATTGTATTTATTGAAGTATAAACGTTTGGAAATGAAAGTTTTTTTTTCGTTTTTGATAAGGTACAAAAGAGTATACGAAACACTAAATTTGATAGCTCTCATTGAATATTAGGCAGCAGACAAACTGCTTAGAATTAAATTAAAACATAATAGATTCCTGTGTAATCATCAGCTTTTTCCAATAATGTATGAAATATCAAACAATTGCTTGTATCCCCTGAAGCTACCTTACAATTCAAACAAATCACAATGACTAACAACACATAAACATTTGGAAACAAAATGATTGTAACCTAATTGTATATTATTTTTCTATTTGCTATCTGTTTTTTCTTTTCTTTCACATGTTCGGCTTTAAAAACTTATCTCTAAAAATCAATACCAACTATTTATAGCCAGTAACAATAATTTAAAGAAATGTACGTAATAATTATATATCAATTCGGCATGGTAAGTAGAAAACTGTACTGTGAAAGGTTGTATGTTTTAGGTGTTGCATACATTAGCATAACTGGGCAAACTTTATACATTAGCAAATGAAATGATATAGTCTTCATACATTTTGTATAACGTGTATATTCCAACTAAATGTTCTAGTTCTTCGAAAGACCTCAAGCATTAAAATAATATTGCATTTTAGAATATACCATATGTTTTCAAAAACTAATTCCTCTGATTTTGAATTTCTGAAATATACCAACCACATTCATGATATTCATGTTAGGAGTTGTATTTTTTAACTAAGAAATATGCCTAAGTACATAGGAATGATAGTAGCTGGTTATGAAATAAGGATAATGAACTGTTCAATATGAAAATCTAGTTCATATTCAAATGAATGTATACTATAGTACGTATCAGGAACTATAACATACATTTAATTGTATCATTATTATTGATTTCCGCGTAAAAAAATGATATAACGATACATCCATTAACATAAATCATCGATACACTTTATGGTGTTGATTTAATTAAGAATGTCGACTTCATCTATCTCGTACATTGGAGATATCACATGATGTTAATCCTGGCAGGGTGAGTAACGCATTCTATATGGCATCGAGAAGCACGGGAAATCAATACAGGTCCTCATTTGTGATATGATCAATTTATAGAGAATTTTACGTCCAATATTATTGATATTTTACATTCGTTGATATCTTAGGCATTGAAGCGTCATTATTCGTGCACAGACATGTTGGGATAGGATAGAAATTAATGAAAGGAACTTTCTATCAGTAGGTGAAAAGAAAAAAGAATTTTCAACATGAATTGCATATACATCTATTTTAAATGGAAGTGTCACTGGTTTTCAATAATATATTGGTCAATATTCGTTGCAGTAGTGGCAGGAAAGTAATAGGAATAGAAATAATTGTTGTTTTCCTATATATGTCGTGTTCAACGTATGAGAAAAAATAGAATGTATAAAGCACATCTAAAATTAAGTTTTGGTTCATGTTATTGAAGGGAGACAGCAACGTCATATAAAAGCTTCAATATCATGTTCTGAAAGATTTGTTATCAAGGTGGCCGATCCAACAATCAATTCGTAGCGGTCGTGTATTTCATTGATTTTTAAAGGTATTTATTACCTTTTGATAACGTAATAAAATGCATCTTTATCCCTGGAATCTAGGTCGTTACAGAAACATACCTAGCAACATAATTCGCTGCTAAAGTATTTTGTTTTGTCCAACAGTCATTGAGTGATTGAAGTAAATACTTAAACACACATAACGGTAGATAACTTAAAATATTGAGTGCAGAAATGAAACATTGGCAGCACATGCGGGGGAATATGTATAAGATAACTTTCAATAATAC